CTGTGATTTTCTTTTTGAATTTTACTTTGTAATATATGAGCTTTATACTTTTAAAATAAGTTACTATTACATATTTTCTACACCATTAAATTATTTACTCTCCACACCAACATATCCAAACAAGTAAAAACAGCAGTTTGGAAGATACATTCTCTGAGATATCCACAATCGTTTTCTACCTTTTCTCATGAAAACCATAGTGCCAAAATTAAAGGAAGATTGTAGAGTATGTGTCAAGTAAAACACGCTTGAATTTTCCATTTATGGGGAAGAACAGGATGAAAATTCTTTAGCTTAAATGACCAAAGAAAAGTAGGGAAAATGCGATTGGGTTATTGACTTGGGTCAGATTCTAGCTACTTGATTTTAAAATGATAATGCTTTCTCTCCTATTCTTTGCCACAAACGTGTCATTTGGAGAACTGGCAAGAGATCCTTTATGTTCAGATTTGATTTCCTGTTTTAGTATCCCACAGGGGTGTGTGTGAATGGAGGAAAATCTGTCACACTCAGCAGCCATACTATCCTTTTACAGTAATGCAATCATTTTAAGACCTGTAACTTGATCATAGGTTGGTAAATCTTAAGTTTATGGTCCTCGAAATCCCCTGCCTGCTGTGATTGAGGTAAAGTTGGATTCAGCTGGTTTGCACTGCCCTCAAGGCAGCAAGACCAAAAAAGGCTGGACTCCACTGTAGCATGCTTACGGGTTGAGGCAGTGGCCGGGGACTTGGCTGTCAGCCAGCCAGCACAGGATGAAGAAAACAGAAAGCGTAAGTTCAACATTGCTCACAAGCCAGAAACCATTGAGACAGTGACTCCAACCTCCAGATTAATCAGAAAGAAAATGTGTGGATGATATAGCATTTTATCCAAGTAATTCTGGACAGGTTCTGGCCTATGATAACGCATTTTAACTAGAGAATGTATAGATTATAAAGCATAAGTAACTACAGTAGAGTTATATATGGGTTTACTATTGTATGTTGGTGGTAAAATCATAGATAAAGCATCCGTTGGAGTATGCTGAGTTTTTTGTTTTTAAATTCTTTCCCCTCAGAAGTAAGAGCTGTTCATAGCTAACAATAAGATGCAAACTTGAGAAATGGTTATCATAACCTTGGCTTAGTTTATGGTAAGATGTTTGGGAGGAATGCAGATTAGTAGGCAATCTCAATCTGCCCTTCGCTCTGTGAAACTTTCCTTTAGCCAAGAGCAAAAATCTGGTCTGAACCAGGTCTGAACCTATTTCTATCATAGGTGGTTGGGTAGTTTTGTGTGGTTATCATCGGCATTTACGCAGATTTATTTTAACAGCTGAGAAATCATAAAAAGATTGAGTCTGGAATTGGGGAAGGAAACATTATTTAATTGAATTTTTATTAACTCCAGCATTATTTTCTCTGTCAGAGACTTCAACTGTGATTATCCTTGTGGTTTCTCTTTTAGAGATGATAGGAACTTTCTCTACCTGTGGTACCACAGAGAATTTGCTCTTCTGGTCTAAAAGTGAGGCTTTGTTAGGAAAATCTGAAATAGAGTGTTGCCTGTCACCATCATTATAATGACAGTTTTTGCTTATTTTGTTTTTTAAATGAGGCTGAAGCACCAGTGGCTCTTTTTTTTTTTTTAATTATTCTTCAAAAATGAAGTGTGAACTATAGAAATCATCTGGTGTAGGTCAAGAAGTAAGAGAGATGGAAGTGGCTATTCTAATAAGTTGTTTTATGCTTCCCAGTTCATGAATACTGGAATGTTCTTATACAAAATAAAAGAGAATAAGGATGATGAATATTAAGAGATACCTGAGAAAGATATACATAAAATAGAGCCAAGAATGAGGCTAATATAAAATGGAAAACAAAGACATATTTGCACTGAGCGAGCTAAATATTTGGCTCTAATGTAACACAAAATGGGAAGTCCAGTAAGTCAAATAATTTCAGTGTTTGCCTCACAGCAATTGTTGAGGAAAAGCACAGTTAATATTATGGACCGAATGTTGTGTCCTTTCCACTCATTCGTATGTTGAAATCCTAATCCTCAATGTGATGGTATTAGGAGCCTTTGCGGGGTAGTTAGGTCATGAGGGTGGAGCTGTCATAATGGGATTAGTGCCCTTATAAAAGGGACCCCAGAAAGCTCTCTCTTCCTCTCTCCCATGTGAGGGCACAATGAGAGTATGTCAGTCTGCAACCCAGAACAGGGCCCTTTCCAGATCTCAACCGTGCTGACACCCTGATCTCAGACTTCCGACCTCCCCAACTGTGAGAAATAAATTTCTGTTGTTCATAAACCACCTGGTACGTTGTTATAGCAGCCCAAATGGACTAAGACACTAGGACCAGCAGGAAGGCCTCCTTAAAACTTAATTAGGTACAAGCTCTGCCGGCGCACACAGCCATGTCTGCGTACTCCCCAGCCATCTCTCCGCCTCTAAGACCCCTACCGTGATTTGGCAGGAATTACATAGGTTTCAAGTTCTCTCTTAGGTGATCCCAGTTGAGCTCAGAAGAGAAACTTTACTGTGGTGTACTGTGTTGCAAGGGTCTGCACGTGGCACCTGGGAAACAGGACAAGGAAGCCCCCAGTCAGATGTGTCCCCACCATCCCCTTTGTGCGACATGAGCCTGCTTCACTTGTTTTACTCAAGTTCTGGATGTGCCCAATTCTTGTAGATATTTCAGTTTATGACGTTACCCAAATGGCCTCTTTTTGGTGGTCACAGGTAAGCCACCCCAGCCGAAAGTCATTTTGCTCTTCTTTCTTGAATTCCATCCAAGTCCCAATTTCCCCACTACTTTTTTGGCCTTTCATGACGAATTCCCTGTTGCTAGTTACTCATTCTTAGGTGTTGGTGCCTCATTCAGAAGGCAAACTCCTTACTCCTGAAGGGATCCCTCAGCCTTTTCCCACAGGACTCTGCCCCTGGCTGATACTTGGGGCACAGTGACTGGTGCCATGGAAAGACGAGAGATCAGTCCCTGGCCAGCAGGCATGGAAGTACCCCTGGGTTGGGGAGTTTGGATGACTATACCAGGGCGCGCACATACAGCTTGTGCTGGGTGGAGAGAGCAGCTCCCTCAGACTGTCTGGGTCTCGCTGCTCAACACCTGGCAAAGACCCAGCCTTCTAGGCTTGGCCCCATCTGGCCTCAGATCAGGAGGATGTTCATACAGCAGGTTGGCTCAGTTTCTCGCCCCAGGGCCTGCTGCCCAGAGGACTTTGCAGAAGTGGTGGCCAAGGCTGAAGTTCCAAGAAAGATTGGGTGATTGCTGGCTTGGCCTGCTTAACAGCTTGTAACTTTCAGAGCTTTGATATAAAAATGCTGCAATAATGCCTTCCCTACATGAATGGCGTTTAGCTTTTATTTGTGTCTGCACAGTGTCGGGTACATGGTAGACACTCGACATTTGTTACTACCATTTGTTGAGCACTGATCATGTGCTCATTGCTATTCCTGGTGCATCTCGACAACCCTGTAGTATTATCCCTGTATTATAGCTATGGAGCTTCAGAGAGACCAGCTCAATCCTTCAGGCCATACGACTACGAGATGACCATCCAGGGTTTAAATCAGGTTACTCTGTCTCCAGAGCCCTGTTTCTCCCC